ATATATATATATATATATTCATCGTATATGTGTTGACAAATCTTTGACACTCTCTAGATATACAAATGTATATATATATATATATATCTGTATCGACATAATATTAACCACACTCTGTAATTAACGTAGGGGAAATGGAGATCTTTATCACCAACATCTTTCTGCGCATTCTCGACAGCGACAACTCGACGTTTGAGCATAAAATGCTCGTGCTGGAAGTGCTCAACCACATTTGCGACGATCAGCTGATTTTGAGTGAGATTTTCTTGAATTTCGACTGCGACTGGGACTCGATGGACCTGTTCAAGCGTATCGTGAACGCATTGGCCAAAATCGCCAAGTCCAAACAACGAGATCTCCAATACCACTCGAGTGCCCCCGTGGCCCGCCAGCTGAAAATGCAGCAAAACGAAGCCGCGCTCGTTCTCAAAGGTCCGATTTAAAACCGTTTTAAACTCCTTTTAAACTCGTTTTAAACCACAAAACAACCGTGTATAAAACACATTATGATCCAATAATTGGTTGTGCCGTGGATAGGACTGGAGTGTTTGACGTCGACGGTCCATTCATTGAAAAAAGCGGCCAACTTTGTGTCCATCACCGATCAAGGCAAACCGACGCCAAGTGGTACGATGGAATTGTTAATATTATATATATAATATATATTGATATCCTTGGAATTGTTACGAGCCCCCTGTATATATATTATATATATATTCTAGGATACTAGGATTCGGGATGTACAATTATGTGCTAGTACAACGTACTGTACCTGCCAGAGTGGTCTACTATTTAGATCCAATATTACAGGCTACATTGTTTCTATGTCTTTGATGCCCATCCTTGGTTACGAGTTCATGTATATATATATATATATGTATCGTTGAGTTTGGGATGTTTAACATTTGTACAAGTACTACGTACCTGCCTTGATTCGTATACTATTTTTCGATCTATGTTTACTGTCTCCATTATTTTACTATAGTTTCCTTGTCTTTTCTTCCCATCCTTGGTCATGTTGTCCATTTAAAGTATATTAATATTTCATTTTTCATATATATATGTATATATATATATATTTTTTTTTTTCTTTTGTGTAGACAACGATTCCGATACGGAGGAAGACGCCGAATGCGGGCCACGGCTGCCGTCGTCCGCGTCGTTGGTGGTGGGGATGTTTGACAAGAAGAAGAAGCGCCAGGATCTCATCAGTACCGGTACTACACCTACGACGATGGATTTATTTATTATTAAATATATATAGTAAATTGTCGGATATACTAAACAATCGATCATAATCACGTGTGTAGGTATTGTGAAATTCAACGTAAAAGCCACCGACGGGATTAAATTTTGCACGGCCAACAAACTGATCGAGAACAATCCGCGCAGCGTCGCCGAGTATTTGCACGAGTACAACTCCAAACTCGACAAGTTCCAAGTACGTCAACGATCTATCTATCTATATGTATATATATATATATATATAATACTCATTTGAATATTTTTTATGGCAGATTGGCGAGTATTTGGGCCGGGAAACGGCCTACCAAGGCGGGTTTTGTGTAAAAGTTCTGCATGACTTTGTCGACATGATGGACTTTCACGGGTTGGAAGTCGACGAAGCGATTCGAAGGTACCCAGTTATAACTCGCTTCTGAATTATAACAGAACGAGAAAGCGTATTATAACTCCTACCTGTGGTTATATTCGCTTTTCGTGGGATGCAGAGAGATAGATGATGATGGGTGTGTAGTTATTTGTCGTACTTTCGACTGCCCGGGGAAGCCCAAAAGATTGACCGCATGATGGAGAAGTTTGCCGAACGGTACGCCAATATATATATACTTGATGTATATATATAATATATAATATATATGGCATTTCGCAATGTGTTCTCAATGGTTGTTTAGTGACATTTCTGTGTATATATATTTGTTTGGTATCATAGCACGTGCTACGAGTTATTGGGCCTCTCTCTCTATATATATATGTATGGTGAGCAATTGAATGGATTCTAATATATATATATACTGAGCAATTAGAGTCTAATAATATATATATATATATGTCCTGGTTTATGTAGGTATCACTGGAACAACCCGGGCGTGTTTCCGTCGGCGGATGTTGCGTTTATCTTGTCGTTCTCGGTGATCATGTTGCAAACGGTATGATATATAAATGAAAATCATGGCCAAATATTATATATGAATTGATTTACTGCGTAATGAAATCAATATATATGTGTCGAAAAGGATCTGCACAATCCGTCGATACCTGAAGACAAGAAGATGTCCAAGGAAGGGTTCATTCGCAACAACCGCGGGATCAACAACGGCGACGACTTGGCCGCTGACTACTTAGGTCCGTGTTTGTGTATTTATAACAATTATAATATTTAAATATAACAATGGAATCATTCAGGCGGGATCTACGACCGCATCAAGAGCACCCCAATCTCCCTCAAAGAAGAACAATCGATGAAACATAAGCGCGAGAACTCGACGATTTCTGTCGCCGTATTGGACAAGCAGCGAAAGGATGCATTCAGTCGCGAACGCCAAGCCATGGTAATTATATATATATATATATAAATAGATACGGCTGGTTTTATATATTGTCCTTTCAACCAAGATGTGTGATTTGATTCACCAAATCCATCAATTGTTTTGTACTGACTGTTGTATGTCAAATACGTGTCACACTAATAGAAGTCCTACACGAATTCAATGGTTTGAATGGTTGTAGAGTGGGGATTTCATTGGCTACTCGATTCATGTTGTGGGTTTTGATTGGTCGATCGATTGTCGGCCGATTTGATGTATATCCGATCGAAACCCCTCCTCGTCCATTTCATTTTTCGACTCAAACTGGCCATATATATATATATATATGCGTCTGTTTCTGTGGGGATTCTCTGGGTTTGATCCTATCCACACGTGAAATCAAAGAAATATAAATATCCTGTCGTTTGTATATATATATTATATATGTGTGCGATCGAATATTTAAAAAAGAAAGCAATGTAGTTTTATGCAAGTCCAATGGTTGATTGGGTAGGTCAAGGCGTCGGAAGCGTACTTTAAGCGCAAATCGCCATCATCAAATGCTAATGCCGAGACCAAATCGTCGCCGCCGCCTTCGTCATATGTCGTATCTTCCACCGAGAATGTGTACGTGAAGCCTATGTTTGAGATCGTGTGGGCGCCGCTGCTGGCCGTCTGCAGCGTCCTCTTTGAAACGTCCGACCACCCCGTGGCCATCCAGTATTGCCTCGACGGGTTCAAGCACGCGATTCATTTGTCCGCAAGGTAATACTATATAAAATTTTTCTCATTTTTGTAAATATATATATATATATATATTTGTACATCCTCCTATTGCGTCGGGGAGTTGGACTGGTTTGTTTCCAAAACATACCTTTTTCCGGATACACTAACAGGCACTGTTGTTTGCCGCCATAAATAGAAATAAATCTAAAC